ACATTGTTTCGTTCTGCTGTGCATGGAGTCGCTATGAGTCGGTTCCAACTCGATGGCACCTGACAACAACAACAACAACATATCACAATAGAACATAGGAGTATAGATTTGAACCATATCAGAATAAATTGTAAACAAATTTCATTGAGTTATATTTCTAGAATTAAAAGCAGTCAATGCCAGGGAGTGGGACTATAAAGAATTGGGTGATAATCTGGAAGACCATGTTAGCTGTAGGGAAGCAGGCTGATATCATGGACAACATACAAAGAAAGTTGTGTTAAATGTTAAGAGGACAGAGAGAGCACATCCTGTTTTGTTTTCTTTGTACTCCCTAGGTATTTTTCAAATTCTCTGTGGAATCTCAGGTTTAGGAAACCAAAACTTGAAAATGAAAAGACAGTTTGTGTTCAAAGTAACTTTGCCAACTCTCTCAACACTAGACATCTCTGTAGAAGTTTGTAAGATCTGGTCACATGAAAGTCAATTGTTGTATTTATGAGAAATTGCTTTCTGTCTCTTTTGCTGCTCTTCCTTGCTGTTTTTGACAGGTGAATGGCCTACACCTAAAGAAACTACTGCACCAAGATGCTGTAGACCTCTTTTGTAATGCAGACTATGCTGTGTCTCTGCAAGTACAGCACAGGGTAGGTGTCACTTGCAGCCAGGGGCCCAGCCCCAGGTTTTTGCACCATCCTTGGAAATAAGCCCTGTGATGTGATCTGTAGTGTTTATTATTTTTGCTATTTCCTTCATTTGAAGAGTTTGTCTGGCATAATCAGGCGTCCTCTGGTACTTCTTTATCATTAAACATAATTCATAATAATGTGCTTGCAACCCAGGGTCCAACTCCCAGGTTATGTGCCTTAAAGATAAAGCGTAACAATCAAATTAAAATCAGTGGGAGGAAAGAATCATTATCTCTACCCTTCAAAATTTCTAGATGACAGATTCCAATCTATAGTACCATACAGCAAATACAGTATTCTTATACACCACTTGTCTGTCAGTTTGTCATACTGTGGTGGCTTGTGAGTTGCTATGATTCTGAAAGCTATACCAGTGGTATTTTAAATAACCAGCAGGGTCACCTATGGTGGACAGGTTTCAGATGAGATTCAGACAAAGACAGACTAGGAAGAAAGAATAATGAACTACTTCCAAATCTTTAGCCACTGAAAACCTTATGAATAGCAGAAAAATACTGTCAGATATAGTGCCGGAAAATGAGCCCCTCAGGTTGAAAGGCACTCAAAATGCGACTGGGGAAGAGCTGCCTCCTCAAAGTAGAGTGACTGTGATAACATGAATGGAGTAAAGCTCGTGGGAGAAAAGCCCGCAGGGTCTTCATTTGCTGATGGGGCACAACTCAAAATGAAGAGAAACAGCTGTAAATATCCACTGAAAATCGGAACATGGAATGTACAGAGTGTGAATCTGGGGAAATTGGAAGTTGTCAAAAATGAAATGGAACGCATAAACATCAATATCTTAAGCATTACTAAGCTGAAATGGACTGGTATTGGTCATTTTGAATCTGACAACCACACAGTTTACTATGCCAGGAATGACAAATTGAAGAGAAATGGTGTTGCTTTCATTGTCAAAAAGAACATACTCAGATCAGTCATGAGGTACAATGCTGTATGTGATAGGATAATATCCATGCACCTACAGGGAAGCCCAGTTAATACCACTATTATTCAAATTTATG